GACACGGTCCGTGTCACTAGTTAAAATTGCTTATTTCTCTGGATTTAAACATTCTTCAAAACATTTGGGATAATGTAAGTACACAAGTCAGCAAAATATACAACACTGTTATAGTGGTTTTTATATATTTTAATAAAACAATCTTACATATTGTGCCTTTAACTATATCATGTTATGAATAAATTAAACATTTTGAATTTTCACCTCAGTGTGTTTCTTCTGAGTTTCTTTATGTGTGCTGTTACGCTCATTTGTTCTGAAGTCTCTCACAAAGAGATAAACAGCACAAGTCTCAACAGCGCGACCTTGATACCAGAAATACACTATCCATTATCAATCGCTGTTTACATTGAATGTAGGCTAATAAAATTAGAAGAATCATTCTTGCGTTTCGATGCTTCGCTGGTTATTTTATTTATTTATCTTAATTTAATGCCGCAATCGACACTGTCTATTCAAATTCACTTTGTTAGCAACAGACGTAATAGATAATTAATTTGTTTGTGCAGGGGCATTTTTGTCCAATTTAGTGGCATTCCCCTGGCCCCAAGTCCCAGTGGCCAGCCTTACACACGCTCCACCTATGAGCACAGGTCTACCTTTCACAAACACAATCTCTCATCTCCGTACAAGATTTTATTACTTATGAACCCAAAGTAGTTCAGATCAACCGCACTGCTCCTCTGTCAAAGTTCACCTCTGAGTCTGGTGTGCAGGTCCTCTTGGTTGATTTTGCCCATCTGCTCATACCAGTGGTGGTGGGCGAGCAGGGCCAGATTACGGGCGGAAATGGCACTCATCTCCATGGCACTGGCCGCCCACTCCACGGCGTTGAGGTAGTAGAGGTGATCATGGAGGATGAAGGGAGGTGTCCTGCGGTGCGGTGGGCTGTAGGAGGGGTACGCGAGCCAGCGCTTCTCCGAGACCGAGTCCCAGGAAAGAAAGATTTGCTGCAGATGCTTCTGAGAGAGTGGCTGAGAGGAGAAGATCTTCCATACTTTGCGTTGACTGGCAGGGCTGTGGGAGTAACCCTTGGGAATTTTCACCGGGTCCAGAGAGCTCAGGCTGTGGATCTCGGAGGCTTTGTTGTCCAATGTGAGGACGTCAGAAACAAAGAAGTCTTCCGGCTTCTCTGTGGTGCCCAGATAGGACACATTGAGCAGACCGTGGACCAGCGTGGCCACCGTTTGGTGGTAGCGGCCAGGGAAGTGGGATGGAATGGGAGGAGAAAAGCCTGAGAAGTTGATGTCAGAAATGCCCTGGTGGAGAGGTGTGGCAACTACAGCTATGTCGTACATGGAATGGGCGGCACCAGATTCACCAATGTAGTTCACTTCATAGAAATTTACAGCCGAATCTGAAAGGGCAACAAAAGAAAATGGATAAATATGGCAAGACTGTTGGTAAGGAACCAACTTACTGACTCCAAACTTGTGAACTTTGGTTGGTAGTGTACATAATATATAAAAAGATTCACTATAATGTTCAAAGTGGACTGTACCAGTTTTGGATGGTCTCATCTTCATGGAGATGGTAGTCACACGAGCTGGAACAAGTTCAGCTTTGCTGTGGTACAGAAGCCCAGAACAAACCACCTTATTCCCTCCATCCACTGCCCACAATCCTGAGTCGGCTCCTGCTAGTGAAACAGCACCTACAAACAGAATACGCCATATTCACACACTTCTGTATCTAATAAATCAGTGCTCCACAACAGGTTTTGCTGGAGGAGCATATTTTACATTGGACAGCAAGTCGCAAGGCTTTTCTTACATTGCAAATACTAATCATTATTTTTGAAAAATAAATTTCAAATGTAAATATAGTTTTTCAAAATATCATGAATCAAGTTCATGAGAAGTCGCACCACATGACATCTTACAAACTGAACTAATCTTGCTCAAATTATCTGATATTAAGACTTACTGACCTTGACAAACGGTAACGATATGATTGCCCTGCATGTTTTGCATATTAGTTTCACCAGATGATTTTGATTTCACACACACATCAAAAAAATTCAAATATTTAAAATATTTTAAAGGGGTCATATGATGCTATTTTAAAGATCATTATTTTGTGTATTTGGTGTAACAGAATATGTTGACATGCTTTAATGTTCAAAAAAACACATTATTTTTCAAATACTGTACATTATTGTAGGTCCTCTATGCCTCGCCTCTCTCAAACACGTCGTTTTCAACAAAGCCCCCTCCTTTGACAAGCGCAGTCTGCTGATTGGCCAGCTGACCCAGTGCACTGTGATTGGCCGAACACCACAAGCACGCGTCGGAAATGTAACGCTCCTTACCATAATCGCGAGCGTCAGCTTTCAAAGTAAATATCAAGACAGTTAATAATGTCGTTAGTTTTACCATCAGGTCAAGCCCGAAAGGGCAACAGAGTCGCGTGACAGACACAGTGATGATGCTCGTATGTGTTTGCAGTACACAAGCCACGGTTAAGACAGCTGACGTGCTATGATTTCTGACAGGCAGTTCACTCTCTTGTGATGTGACCCTGTTCCCCTCACACACACACACACACACACACACACACACGACGCGTTACTCTGCGCTGTGCAAATATGCTTTTGCTTTCGCACTGAAACACCGCGTCTCCCTGACATGGCTGCATCAACACAACTGCTGTTCCTGAAACCACACCTTCTTTCTTTGCATGCACATTTGGGCTGCATTATGCTAATATTTCCACATAGTGACATAGATATGTGGGGGCGTGTTAGAACGAGCCGTTTTAGGTAGGCGTGGTTGACTCTTAACTTTTATAAAGAATATCTCTTTGGATTTGAGACTTTAGTCTTTGCAACTTTACAGATCTTCTTTATGCACCAAGAGCTTGTAACACTCCAAAGAGAAAGGAAAAATTGAAATCGCATCATATGACCCCTTTAATACATGTTTCAGTGCTTTCCCCCCAAAGAAATAATAAAAATAAACATGCCAAAATATATATATTTTTTTTTTCCTCACATGATTGATTTTTAATAATGAATGCATGAGAGTAAGAATTATATTCAAATCATTATATGTAAAAATTGCCTTTGTAATGTATTTTTTAATTACTTAATAGATTCGGAACCAAAATAAATGTGTGTCATGTCACTGACCCTTCGATTACTAATACTAAAAGGTCACAAACATCCCAATATAGGCATATAAGCATAATACAGGCATACCCACAAATCCATTGATTCGGACACTTTGGCCGTAGTTGACCCTTGTGACGGGTGCTACGACATCATTGAGAAAGACCTGAGAGAAGCCCTCAGCCAGCATGGCCTCCTCCAGCGTCTGATTGACCAGAGTGAGGAAACCGTCTCCACCCATTGCATGAAGAAGCTTCTCCACACTGGAGAATGAGTAGCCATACTGCTGGTACTGATATATCCTACAGAGAGGACAGAAATGGACAATAAAAGGACTTTAAAGGTGTAGTATGTAATATTGACAGCTGGCGGTTGAAATGGGTACTGCAGTCCAAATTCAAAATATTGTTTCTCCCGCCCCCTCATCAGACGCGACGCTCCAGCGAGTTGCCAGATTGAGGACACGCAACGGCAATGAGCACATTTGACAATGGAAGGCGGTGAGTCTTACACTGTAAGTTGATGAGTTGATTTATCCTCGTTTTAATATGCCTCTGGTCTTAGAGGTATTTAGATTGATGCCGAGGCTAATCTGCAATTTCTGACCCAGTTCATTTGCTGGCTTCCATGGCTGCGATACGCTGTTTTCCGCTCTCTAGCAACCCGAGGTGTCGAAATACTATTGGTTAAACTGGCAGTGGGCGGAATCACACAGACAAAAACAAAAACAGGCATTCCGACATGGAATGCACATTTTCAAAGTAGAATAAGTGGCTTTAGCGTTGTTTTTCGGAGAAACAAGTATGTGAACTTGGCATGTTTCCTAAATATCTGCGAATATATTATGGTGTTTTTATGTTTTGGTACGTTCAAAAAGTTACATACAGCACCTTTAATATCAACTGGTTATGTTCATTCTATTCACCACTAGAAAAAATAATGGAAACACAACAGACGAACCTCATAAACTTGTCCATTATGCCCTCCACCCACATATGCATTCGAATGAAGTTGAATCCGTATCTCCACAGCATGCGTATGAAGTTCACTATGAACCAGTCGCTCTCTTCAAAGGTCAGCTCTTTACCGTCAAATATCGCCAGTTTAGAAGATACATCAGCACAAGGAGACAGACCTGATCAGAGAATATGACACATGCAAGGTTAAGCTGAAGGTATCCAGTTCTGCATTTTAGAGAAGAACATCATAAGGAAAGCTTGAGAGGGAAGTGGATACTGACCGAGTTTGTCCAGAAAGTGCTTCATGTGCAGGTTGAGGGGGTGAATAATGGATCCTCCTGTCTCATACTCATATCCCCCAATGTTTTCAGTGGCCAGACGCCCTCCCACAGTCCCAGCCTCAAACAGATCGATCTTCACTGCCGGTCCAAACTCCTGTCTTAAGAAAAACGCTGCTGCCGTACCTCCAATACCACCGCCAATTATTGCTGAAGAAGAAACGCACATTTAGCCCATCAGATCCCACCAAACATGCCCATTAATATACATAATATCTGATACATGAATTTCTAAGGCCTCTAAATTATCAAGATGAGCAAAACTTTGCTGAAAATCCTGTTGCACACAATCTACTACATGCTTTCTGTCCTCTGATTGATCATTTATACTTTTTAAGCCAGTAAAAGGCCTTTTAGTATCATTCTAAAATACTCCCAGCTTCAGGTTGTGCTACATGTGTTATTTTAAAAATGTATAAAGTATGTGTAAGAATAACTTTTATATTGTTAGTTATGCTTCAAAATGAACACTTACTGGAATGAAGCAACTTAGGTTTACTTGATTATACATACAACATTTGTTAAAATGCGAGTATCAAATATGATCATCAGGCTTTTGAGGAACGTTTATTTGTTCATCTCAATCATCGTGTTGCACTGCATTATATGTTTTGCCACCACAATAAAAAACAGTGAGTTTGATCAATAAACGTTTTTAAATGTTTTCTTACTAAGACATATTATTAGAGTGACAGTTGATATTTATGTGTGTTTTATAATCTGGTGTACTGTTATAAAGATCTCATTGATTTACATTATAATCAGATTTTCATCTTACTCTATGACCATATAAATATCAGTAACTGCTCACACATATGCAAACCTTTTTCTTTTCTTTTATATTTTGTGTAAAGTTTCAATAAATTCAATAATTCTTAGTATTATTTCATATGTGAGGTTTTACAGGGATAAAAGTCTTCCATATACTCTTCATTCTTACACAACAAATGAATGATTTGAACTTTATCATACCAATTTTCTTTGGTGCCTCTCTGACTTCGGGTGCAGAGGCAAAACCTCTGCGTCCAACTTGACAAAGCCCCAGGAAGAGGAGAGCCTTCACCGATAAGTGTCTCAGAGCCATTCTAGCGATTCAGTGTTTCACAATATTAACATCTGAAAAACAAATTTGAAGAAAATAGGTAAATGATGCATTTACATGAGCTCAGATTTTCATATATGAAACGTACTTTGGAAGAAGGTGGCTGTTCACTGTCTAACAGAAAGGTCAGATTCTGCTTTACAAGACGAATCATTCAGCTTGCTACCAGATTCATATTTTATTATCGGGTCTATAACACATGTTAGAGCTGAGAAAAACAATATAGACATTTCTATGGATGCAAACTACGACATAAAACTGGTTTAGAAAGCAACGAATCAGCGATTCTTTTTTACGTTTTGACGTGTCTGGCTTCAAATATCAGCTTCCCTATTTCTTGTGTTCCACCAGCTCTGTAAGATTCCATCAGTAAGGTTCTTTCCATTCTGATATTTCTGATAATAAGGAGTTAGATGATGTCTTAAACTTTATTTATATGATGGGTAAATTCCATATCCACAAAGCTAGATACCTTAAATTTAAACCCAGCTGCAAAATATTTGCTTCTGATCTACATGTATTATTGTCAAGCTCTGGAGACATTGTATTATATAACGGTTTTTAAGTAAATTAAAAAAATTTTCTTCTTTCTTTTTCTCTCACCTCTGTATTCCCCCCATATGTTCTATGTTCTTTATTATTTGTTTCTTTTGTACTGAATGATATTTCTGCAATTAAAAAAAAGTTCTCGACCTTTTTATGTTTATTTTGTTTCTCGTTGTTTTTGTTACTGTCTGTATTTGGTTTTGGGTATTAATAAAAAAGCTTTTTGACTTGCAGGTCACTTCTTGTCCAACATGAACACCAACGCCTAATATGGACGGCGATATTTCCGGTATTTCTGCTGTAATTATGACTGCTGCTCGTTTTCTAAACTATGTTTATTACCAGAAATTGTGAGTATTTATATAAATCAATTAACCACGATTCATTTTGTGATTCCTTAAGTTTCGATAACTGTTAAATAAAAACAAATAAGTTTTAGAATGTTGAATTACATTCGAGTAAGGTTATTTTAGTATATTAGTAATAATAATTTATTGATTTAAAACTTTTTTTAAGTCATCCAGCGGTCCCTTTGAAGTTCACCGAGGCCCCCGACTGAAAACCACTGCTTTAAAACATTCAAATAGACATTGCACCATATTGAAGCTTTTCGATTATGATTTAGCTCATAAACAAAGTCGTTTATAATTGTACAGTGGTGTGAAAAAGTGTTGGCCCCCTTCCTGATTTCTTATCTTTTTGCATGTTTGTCACACTTTAATGTTTCAGATCATCACACAAATTTAAATATTAGTCAAAGATAACACAAGTGAACACAACATGCAGTTTTTAAATGAAGTTTTATTATTAAGGGAAAACAAAATCCAAAACTACATGGCCCTGTGTGAAGAAGTGTTTGCCCCCCTGTTAAAACTGTGGTTTATCACACCTGAGTTCAATTTCTCTAGCCACACCCAGGCCTGATTACTGCCACACCTGTTCGCAATCAAGAAATCTCTTAAATAGGACCTGCCTGACAAAGTGAAGTAGACCAAAAGATCCTCAAAATCTAGACATCATGCCGAGATCCAAAGAAATTCAGAAACAAATGAGAAAGAAAGTAATTGAGATCTATCAGTCTGGAAAAGGTTATAAAGCCATTTCTAAAGCTTTGTTCACTTGTGTTATCTTTGACTAATATTTAAATTTGTTTGATGATCTGAAACATTAAAGTGTGACAAACATGCAAAAAAATAAGAAATCAGGAAGGCGGCCAACACTTTTTCACACCACTGTACATTTTCATTGACATAAAACAATAAGTTTACTTGCATCTTTCGGCAGTTTCAATCGCTTTGCGCTCCGTCTGTTTTTTGAACCCAAACATGAAGAAATCCAATTTACAATTTCGACAGTCTGATCATGTACACTGTACTAAAAATGCACATCTTTAATTAATCCCATTGATAATAGCTGCTGTAGCCAGAGAGGACAAAGTCTCATCGATGCAAAAATTGAAGAGAAGTTTGCAGTTAATCCATCTCGTCAGACTCGCATACAGACGCGGTCACCTTCAAATATACGCAGCTGTAAAAACGATGTATCTCACCGCTTTAAATGTCGGGATGAGAAGTTAGAATAATGTGTGAAGGTAATAAAGTGCATAAGATCAAGCAGCCGAAGATTCGTCCTTCAGAAGAAGTACGGAACCGGAAATGGGACGCAGTCCACTCTGCGGAAGTGGCGTGTTACTGGTAACATGCTTTAGGTGTAGTAAGAGGTGACCTTACTGAAAAATTAGTGAATCGCAGCATTTTAACGCTTTAGTAATGATTTACAGGCCTTGTTAGTAAAACGTGTCGGTTTGGATTCATGGCTTTATAGAGTCGCTGTCTGATTGAAGATTAAAGCAGTTGATGTGAGACCAGGATGGCAGCAGCGCAGCAGGCTCGCGTGCAGAAGGCAGTGGAGGAGATGGTGCAAAGTCTGGAGAAAGATCACATCCGTAAGATGCAGGTAAGCTACTCTTTTCATTTTCCTCCTAAAGCCTTGATCTAGATAAAGTACACATCTGTGTTGTTGTTGCTCTTTGTGTTGTTAACATTACTTCACGAGTCTTTATCCTACAGTCTTTAGTTTAAACTGCCACATGAGTTTAAACTAAACTTTTATTCATTTTCTTAATCACAGAAATAACTTTATGTAGCTAGGATGCATTAAATTGGGCAAAAGTGGCAGTAAAAACTTAGGTTAACAAAAATATATATATACTATTTTGAATAAATGCTGTTCTTTTGAACTTTGTGTTCATCAAAGAATCCTGGAATAAATGTAACAATGCTTCCAGAAAAAAAAAATAGACATAATAATAATAATAATAATAAATGTTTCTTGAGCTGCAAATCAGCCTATCAGAATGACTTCTGAAGGATCATGTGACACTGAAGACTGGAGTAATGATGCTGAAAATTCAGCTTCGCATCACAGGAATACATTTTAAAATATATCCAAATAGAAAACATTATTTGTAATAATGTTTCACAATATAACTGTTACATCAAATAAGCTCAGTCTTGGTGAACATAAGACACTTCTTTCAAAAACAAAAAAAATCTAACAGACCCCAAACTTTATAATTGTTGTAATCACCAATTATATAATATAATTTTTTTAAATATTAATATATAATTTATATAGTTAATTTATATAATATACAATTACTTAATTCATTTACATATTTATAAGTAGTCTATTTTTTTATTTTTTATTTTACATGTAGTCTCTTTTAATATGAAATCATAAAAACGCATGTAACTGTGATATTTATACAAGAATTAGGAAAAAAAGTTTTTAATAACTTTTAACCAATATTTTGGCATAGTTTAAATAGTTGTATGTACAGGTGCATCTCAGTAAATTAGAATGTCGTGGAAAAGTTAGTGAGATAGTGAATTGGTGGGTTTTTGTTAAATGTGAGCCAAAATCATCACAATTAAAAGAACCAAAGACTTAAACTACTTCAGTCTGTGTGCATTGAATTTATTTAATACACGAGTTTCACAATTTGAGTTGAATTACTGAAATAAATGAACTTTTCCACGACATTCTAATTTATTGAGATGCACCTGTATATCATGTCACACTATAGAACAATGCTGTCAATGTTTTACGTGTCAGGTCAACTTCTGATAATGTGCAATAATCAGTTTTGTCATTCGTTCTGTTTGTCTTCTCTATTGATTTACTATATTGGCTAAAGTCGGCTGAAATGTCCAAAATATAGTTTTTGACCACTATTAATCAAAGGTTGATTAAGTAATGGCTGATAACACTCTTCAATCTTTCAGGGCCGCATGTTCCGCTGCAGCGCAGAGTGTTGTGAGAATCCCGGCCACTCCATGAACCAGATGCACCAGTGTATCGACCGCTGCCACGCACCGCTGGCTAAAGCTCAAGAACTGGTCACCAGTGAGCTCCAGCAGTTTCAGGTGAGTCGACTTTTCAGATCACTTACTTTTAAGCTGAAATAGAGTGATTTGGAAGAACCATTTATTCACCTACAGGATCGTCTCACGAGGTGTACAATGCACTGTAATGACAAGGCCAAGGACCTGTTTGACTCCGGGGCGAAGGAGCCTGCCGTGCGGGCGCTAATGGACGGCTGTGTGGGCAGCTGTGTGGACGAACACCTGAACCTGCTGCCTAGTATGACTCGCAAACTGAAGGACAGCTTGAACTCAATACCTCAGTGAAGCTCTGACTGTGGCCGAGGCTGTATGAAATGGTTCTTGTGGACTCATGAGTGTACTAGATGGAAGAATTTGATCTTTGCTGTCACCTCCTTGTGACTTGGTGAATGGCCATGTGCTGATATCTGTGTCCATATTGTTTGTGGCTTTTGTACAGACAATAAATAATGTGATCAAACCAACTTGCTGCCTGTTGAATGACAGGGGGAAATATTATGTAATCTAGCAAACTTATTAGGGTCAATCTAATAAAAACTGTCAAGAAATATCCAGGACATATTTCACCACTAAAAAAAAAAAAAAAATTATATATATATACATATACACAAACATATATAAATGAATTGGTGTGTGTGTGTGTGTGTATATATATATATATATATATATATTTATATTCACAGTATGTAAACGAACTTATTTTGGTTGCGATTAATCACAATTAATAGATTTGACAGCACAAATGAATATATAAGTTTAAAATATAACATTGAAAGAAGCAATGTAAATATATTGCATTTAACATGAGAATATTATTTAAAATTATAATAAAAATCATATCACAATATTAAAAAAAAAAGTCATAATGGTCCTAAAAACTGCATACACACACACACACACACACACACATATATATATATATATATTCTAAATTATATATATTGTGAGTGTGTATTTGTGTACATAAAAAAATAATCCTGTTAAAACCAGTTTTAGTACTGCACTGAGATGTTTTTTCACACTGCATATTTAAAAAGTGAGCGCAATTTCTTCTGTCTGTACTGTTTTAATGAATATATTGATTTCTATCACATGACACTTTGGTCCAACAATATTTACATTTAACCAAAACCACATTGTGTATAAATATTGAAAATTGTACTGCTTCATTGGACACCTGTGGAAATCACTTAAAATGCCCTGTTGATAAACCAACACATGCCTGTTAACCCTTCACTGTTCCTACATCAGCATGCATTGACGAAAATTACAACATGTATCACGTTAGCACCAAATTCAAACAACTATAACAGTACAAAACCGATATTCAGTCTTTTTCTTTTTTGTAAAAAAAAAAAGGGAATGCCTGACAAATGAATAACCAGCCAAACAAGTTTAAATAAGACTATTTCCAAACAAATACAAACAGAATCAAATGAAGTTCATGACCAAGAGCACTTACTTTTAGCTCTGATGCTGATATAACAAATGATTTAAAAGGCACCTGATTATTTACAAATTAAGCATACAACTAAAATGAATGAAATAATATACATGAAGGCTGGCCTGGTGGGCGATGGAGGTTTTATGCTGTGTGTGGTCACGACACACTGCGGGCGCTGTTCTCCAGCTCCGGTGTGTCACCTCTCCTCTCACTGGACGGGGAAGTGTAGAGGAAGTTACAGCACACATACAGAGGAAAAGACAAGAGCCGGCTGTCCAGATTCATCACCACGTATTCCTGCGTGCATAGAACACAATGAAGCTGTTCAGTCAAGCCAAGCCTTAAAGTAACTGGAAATAAACTGGTTTTATATTTAACATTATGACAGAATACCTGGTCCTTTTCAAGAGTAACAAGCTGGTAGCCAGTTGACCGGCTGCAAACCACTTTTCCACTGTTATCAAATGAAGCAAGACGCAATCTGAAAAAAGAGAGAGAGGAAAAAAAAAGAAAAGTTTTCCAACGTATTAAATATGAAATTAAAACATAATGACTATATTAAATATATATGTAATATATTTATCAACATTATTTAATATACATTTTATTTAAGGTAAAACTACAGGGAAAACTTGTTTTTTCATGCATTGGTCAATTTTGAGATTTTGGGCTATTTTTTGCTTTCATAACATCAGGCTAGCAGAACGAAAACATACAAAATACACATTTGTTTATTTTATTACATTTTATCCATTTGCAACTGAAGGTTTTAATTACAACACATATCTTTAAAGACCGTTTATATTCTGAAGTTGTTTTTTTTACAAAGTTCATTCTGTATATCATTTGTCTAGTTTTATAGAAAATGTTTAATTATCGATTTTTTCCCCCTAAAAATATGGTGAAAAATGATCTTTTACTGGCTGTTGACTGGACTTTCTGATTTATGAAGTGATTAAAATATACCAAAATCCCAGCTGTAAAAATCCTTCAACTTTAATATGTTAAAAAAAAAAGAAGAAAGAAATGTATGCAATTTAGTGCATTTTAATTAGAGAATGCTTATTTTGCATATTTAAACGTAACAGTTCAACTATGGTGATATCTGTTAATTAAATATTTTAATTATAAAGTAATTATTAAAATCATATACAAACATTATAAATATAAATTGATATATTTTGTGCTTATATACTTTCATTACTAAGAAACATATATGTCCAATATATGTACAAGAAAACCTTATTATTATGATTTATAGTTTAGACAGACTGTATGACATATAAAATATGTTATATTACTCATTCCTCCATAATATAAGAAATAATCCGAGGTGTACGGCTCACCGGTACGCAAGGTGGCGTCGTGGCTGTAAACTGACAGCGCCTCCACATGGCTGACTGAGGGTGTTTCTCTTAAAGATGATGAAACGATTTGTATAGGTCACCAGCAGGTCAAAGCCATAATTGAACCCTGTCCATCGCCAACAGTACTGTAGAGACAACAAAAACGTATATATATATATATATTCCATTCTAAACTAAAACATGCAGCAAAAGATACAATATATTTAATAGCAGAAGTCCAACTCACATCTCCATCTTTGGTCAGTTTTCGGCCACAGCGCATGCTGTTCAGCTCAAACTCCTCTTTATTGGCCTCTTGTGGTCTGTAACAATCATATTCACTTATTTGCAATTCAAACCCCATTTAATGTTTAGCAGTGACGATGTTTGGGCCGTTCTCTCACCCGTTATCGTTATCATGTTCTGT